GAATGCCCTGAATGAACTCCGAGAGCTGAGAGGACCAACCTGAAATCTGGAAGGTGAAAAAAGAGCATATGAGAAGAAATTTTGTCTGTGAAGACATCTTGGCACTTCCCCAAAATACTTCCTATTTAAGGATATACATTATATTAACTTTTCATAAGTGGTTTAATCAGTGTCCACAAATAAACAAACAAGTGTCTTCGAATAAACATGATCCCATAAGATCCCATATTGTTATCAATGCCAGTAGTGCACGCAGCAGAAACTGAACCAGGGACCAGAGACTTATCCTTATGCCACCCAAATTCAGATGCACAAAGCAGCTAGAATTCACCAGGTCTCATGATCTAGGAACCATGAAAAAGTTAGGGGGCATTCTCAAACACTCCAAACATCCTGAGGCTTTAGTATATATATACTCACCTTTAATTTCATAAATACACTAGAGCTTTGTGCTCAATGAAGTAAACATTTCCAGTCAGAGAGAGACACCTTTCTCTCTCAGCGTGCATCAATATTAAACCTTAATGCATAAGGAAAACAGAAATACACAGGAAAAGATATAAAATTCTTTTAACATAATCAGTACTTTAAAGCTGACCTGGGGTGGGGGTAGGGGGCAGAGTACCATATTAAACTGTATAATGCTCCTGCAAATCACTGTTCACCTGAAACACCACACCCCTGAAAGACCATCTGCTTTTACCTTTAAGCTTCTAATGTTTGCACAATGTGTTCCTTGTTCTCCTCTCGTATACTCCTTGTAACTGAGTGATTCTTTATCTCTCGCCACATTAAAAGACTTTAAATAACATTTTATACTAAAGAATTATTTGGTTTTTTAGGTAGGCCTTGAGACTTTTCTGTTTTAATAATCTACCTGTAGAGACTAGGTGGCACACAATCACTTCAGAAAGCCACATGGTACATCCAAATGAGATTTAGTCTTTCACAGACATCCATTCTAGCATCTCAAGATGTGAAGTGGACTTTCACTGGGTTGCCTGAAGTGCAATTCACAGAACCCTAAACAGCCATACACGATTTCAATACTCCTCTTTTACTTTACAAACAAACTGTGTCATGTTATTTCTCCTCTTATGAGGAACAATGAGAATGTTCAAGTTATCTGTTCATTCTAAACAAAGGCCTAACTTTTATTTCCACTTATCTCTAATACCAAGCTTCATTTATTTTGCATGCTCTTTTACAGCATGACGCTTTGTAAACTCATATAAAATGCTTCAGATTTTTTTTTCATCTCAACAGAATAATTGTCATATCTGAATAACACATTCATTTTTAAAAAATAAAAATAATGATGTAGCAGTATCTGCACTAGCCATTTTGAGAAAAAGAAGCAAACATTTCTGCTTTAATCGCAGAAACAACACCAACATAGACTGTGTGAACAGTTCTTTGTACAAGGACAAAAGGTACTTCTATAGCTACAACAAGGTACAATCTTTATTTGTAAATGAAGAATTCAGTCTTTAGTCATCTTGCAACTGTAGCCGAAAGACATATTTTCTTGGGGAAAAACAGTCATATTCTTCTGTATGAGCTAATTAACATGAGTTCAGCCCTCATGACTCAAAGGCAGTTTGCAATTTGACATTAAGTCAGCAGGCAAATTAGCAGGCTGAAACAAACCCTAAGTCTCCAGGCTAAGAAGTTGCCATCCCATGTTCACTAAGACTTTACCTCATATTATTTGTCATTTGTTAGCTACTGCATAGTAAGAACAAACACTTTCCTAGTTAAGACAGGACCTCAGTGTCATGTCTACATACACATGGAATACCCACCAAGCACAAGTTAACATGTAAAGTTTGTGGGGCCTATATTTTAGGCCTAGACAAATTAATAGCACTTTAATTTTCAATACCTTATCACTTCTACAAAACAATTACAGCAAGTCTGACCAATGATTAGCAATATCAAAACAGCACTCCTTAAAGGAATTTCTAAGCCATCTCACACCTCTCCAAGAACTCAGCCCCTGCCTCTGGTATCACTTGCTAATGTAAATATCATGGGTATGAAAATAAACCATTTGAAAAAGTTTTTGATTAAGTATAACTGTAACCAGAAACGGCTAAATATTACCTCCTTTTTTTACCTCGCTCCATCTAAATTGATGCCGTCTCACAACAGAGAAGACAGAATCAAACCCTTCCTTCTGGATCAGATCTGCCACTTTTACGAGATCACTGGGATGTAAGCAGGGAGACGTTGCTTGTATATTTCCCACAATATCAACCTCTAAAGAAAAACAAACAAACATTTATGAAACAATGAATATTTTTAATACACGCAACTGCAAAGTATGCTATGAGTGGATGCTACAAACAAATGGAGACTCTTTCTAGCTTTTATTTACTAAAGGCTTTACTTATTTTTCTAAATACTAAGTGGCTTTACTTATTTTTCTAAATAATAAGTGCATCATCCCTCTGGGGCTACAACATAAAAACTCAGAATATTTCATTACTGATTTACCATGATGATGATTAAGAAACTCTCTGATAGCTTCTAGAGAAGTTGAGGAGTCTTGAGATACTTCGGGGCTTCTGCGGTGAACTTGAGCACCAAACTGCTTTGCAACCTTCTCAATTTCATCATGGTCTGTAGAAACCCACACACTGTTGGCAGACGGTGACAGAAATTAACATAAAGAATAAATCCCAGCATTGTTGACTTGCCTGCCATAATCTGACCTGAACAACACCCTGGCTTATATATGCATTACACCATGCAATGAAAGGAACTAGTTCTTAGATTTGCATTGGTAAAACTATCCCTGTTAGTCCAACAAGCAACTTTTAACAATAGGGATAAAACACCCACACTCACTACATTGTAAAATCTCAAGCCTGGGTTGCACTTCAACTTATTACCGTAGAGTGCTTGATCTACCACATATATAGGAAGCTTAAGCAACATAAAATTCAGAAGTGTTACCAGAAAAATCCAGTGTTAGTGCACCACTGTTAGGCATGCTAACAGATCAATGAATTGTGAATTGGTTGAATGAGGCATTCAAAATCATCTAAGAATTCAGAAACAAGGCTGACAACAAGCAAAACTGCCACACAGTTAGAAGATTAGCTTATTCTACAAGTGTTTTAAAGTGTGTCAATTAGGCTCCATACAATCCCAGGCAAAGAGCTGTTCAAGTTACAATCACATATGTTTTGGCACAGAAAACCTTCAATACTGGTAAAGCAAGACTGTGATTGTTCAGGGATAATAAATTTATGAAAGAAAGGGCTAAGTCTGAGTATTATGTGATGATAAACACTGGCTGAGCACTGTGAGGCCACTGCTGCCATCGTTGTGACAAAAAAAATGCATGCAAGATATAAAAACAAAAATTATGAAAAACAACCCTTCTTCTCTCAGCAACACTGGCATTCTCAATGCACTGTACATAGCAAATGGTGCTTTAGTTAAGTTTTTCCATCCAAAGACATAATGGGATCATCAGAATAAAAATATGTATGACAGCAACAGAAATGTCAACTCACACCCATGTGAACAAATACAGAAGAGGTATTTTAAATAAACTGCTTCAGGCTGTTTAATAGACATACCTGTCAAATGTACACTCCCCACTCAACTAACAGAGTTTTGTTGTGTAACATGTACCCTGTCAGCACAGCTGTTGCAAAGGGGACTAGAAAATCTAGTGCACTTCCATCTAATGCACCTGTTATGCCTCAAACTGCGAAATGGCCTCAAGCTGCATCAGGGGAGGTTTAGATTGGATATTAGGAAAAATTTCTTCACAGAAAGGGTAGTCAAGCATTGGAACAGGCTGCCCAGAGAGGTGGTGGAGTCACCAGCCCTGGAAGAGTTCAAAAAACGGGTAGATGTGGCACTTCGGGACATGGTTTAGTGGGCATGGTGGTGTTGGGTTGATGATTGGAGTGATGATCTTAGAGGTCCTTTCCAACCTTAATGATTCCTAGTTTTTACTTTCATTAAAAAATAATCCAGCTGCCAAGCCAGGAAACATGAAATGGCTACTCTACCCTTAATTGATTTAGTGGTGGAGTTGGTAGTGTTAGGCTAATGGTTGGACTGGATGATCTTAAAGGTCTTTTCCAACCTAAACGATTCTATGATTCAAAGTTGGGCTGCACAACCCTAACTGTCTTCTTGTTGGGCAAATGCAGATGCCAAATAGAAAATTAGGAGGTCACTCAAACCACCATATCCACCACAGGTCATTAAGCAATATGCATTCACATGCATTAAATAATTATCAGTAATCTAGGTCAGAAATATTTCTGACTTCTTCTTTATTAAAAATAAGTAGTAGTCAGCAATGCTTCTTCTGCTTTTCAGATCCAGTAAAAAAAGATTTTCCAGAATATATAATGGTACAGCAGCTATGAGTTACAGAAGGCTCATGCTTACTTCCAGCTCTGAATCTAGCTGGGCGACATTTCTACTTGACTACATTAAGTAAGTCACTGCTCTGAAAATAATGCAGTAGGTTTGCACTGGGAACTTGCACCTAGGTATGCTATATACCAAGTGCATCCTAACCATGTACTGGTTTTAATTTAGTATATCAGTACATGTGTAGAAAATTGTCAGTTTTGTTCTGGCAGAAAAAAGAAATTTGTAATGCCCATATTCTTAACACTAACAACATACTTGTTTCTATCAAGCTCTAATTATTGCTACCAAAGTTTTGTGCACTTTGCCACAAACTGAGCTTCTGTGTCACGTGGACATGGTTATTTCCTTCCACTTGACATATACGAGACTGCCTCTGACGTGCTGCGTCCAGCTGTGGGCTCCCCAATACAAGAAAGAAAAACCTGAGCAAGCCCAGCAGACGGCCAGCACAACGACTGGGGCCTGGGAGCACAAGCATACCAGGAGAGGCTGAAAGAGCCATCTTCATTCAGTCTTATGAAGAGAAGGTAAGGGGATGACTTTATTGCTGTCTTCAAGTACCTAGTGGGCAGGTAGAGAGAAAACGGAGACACTTTTCCTGGACAAGGGCAGTAAGAGGACACAGACACTTACTGTAAGAACAGAAGTGCCAATCAGATATCGCAAAACAATTTTTCACCATGAGGGCTATCAACCCCTGGAACCGGTGCCTGGAAAGGCTATGGGGTCTCCATCCTTGGAGACATCCAAGCTCAGCTGCACGTGACCCTGAGCAACCCTAAGCAGCCCAGCTTTGTGCAGCAGGCAGGACTGGACAGCCACCAACCAAAGTTAGCCTGCAATTCAGCGATGCACAGATTAGCTACAGCCTGGCAGTTTCATTTAATGCAGCCACCTTAAGAAAGTAAAAACATCAACACTTTACTAGCAAACACCGTCAACTAGCAGCCCCCAACCACGAATCAGAACAACTTTAATTTCAAGCTCCCGTGTTGCAAGACTTTGATTCCTGCTTTCCTTCGCAGCTCACCCTCACCAGGAAGGGACCGCGGCGTTCACGGCGGGGCACAGCCTGCTTGCCCTGCACCA